CCACCTCCTTCCCCTCCCCACCCACCTCTCCTCCCCTCCCCCCCCTACATCCTTCCCTCCCATCTCCTTTCCCCTCTCCTCCCTACCTCCAATCCTTCTCTTGTCTCCCCACCTTTCTCCCTCTGTTCCTGACCCCACCCCACCTCCTTCCCCTCCCCACCCACCTCTCCTCCCCTCCCCCCCCTACATCCTTCCCTCCCATCTCCTTTCCCCTCTCCTCCCTACCTCCAATCCTTCTCTTGTCTCCCCACCTTTCTCCCTCTGTTCCTGACCCCCCTCCACCTCCTTCCCCTCCCCACCCACCTCCTTTCCTCTCCTCTTCTTTCCCCTCCCCACCCACCTCCTTTCCTCTCCTCTCCTTTCCCCTCCCCATCCCACGTCCTCCCCTCTCCTCCCCTCTCTCCATTCCATTCCATTGTTCCACAGTGCCTCTTTTTAAAAGTGACTGAATGAGTCCTTTGAATGTATGCTTCCCTTGCAATCATTTTTTTAAAAAAAAATGATAACTCCCAGCCCCCTCTCTTGTATCTTCCTCTGTAAATCAAAACTGTCAAGAGAAACAGTGACCCTCCATCACAAGTTATGGTTTTGGTGACAGTTTTAAAATTAAAAGCTATATCACTGCTTGACTTGGAAGCAACCTACGCACAAACTCTTTAGAGCCAGAACTGGATGGAGGGTTCATAGATACAATGGAGAAAAACATCCAGGAAGAAAATGTATTTCTTCATCAATAACCTCCTCCTTTCTAGCTTAGGCTTAGGAAATGCTTGACACAAACACCATGGTGCAATGCTATTGCCCAGGGGAGCATCTGCTTTGAACATCAAGGATGATGTAGAGATCTCTGTAGTTAACCAGTGGAAGGGGAGATGGAAGTAGCAGAGGTCCATTTCTTCCTCCTCCTCCTCCTCTTCTTCTTCATCTCCTCCTTTTCCTTCTCCTTCTCCTCCTTCTCCTCCTCTGCCTTCTCCTCCTCCTCCTTCTCCTCTTCTTCTCCTCCTCCTTCTCTCTCTTCTTCTTCTTCTCTTTTTTCTTCTTCTCTTCCTTCTCTTTCTTCTTCTTCTTCTCTTCTTCTCCTCCTCCTTCCCTTTCTCCTCTCCTCCTTCTTCTTCTCCTCCTCCTCCTTCTCCTCCTCCTTTCTTCTCCTCCTCCTCTTTCTTCTCCTCCTCCTCCTCCTTCCTTCTTTCTCCTTCTCAGAATACAGCGATGTCACCCCTCAGCTAGAATCATAAGATTATTAAGCAGATCTCCTTACTTCCCTAAGATAACAAACTTTTGAGATTATGGGGCCCTTGAGGCCCTCTGAGCTTGGCTGTTTTCTTGCAGTAGTTTCATTATCAAACTAGGCAAAATCTTCAGCATTGATGATGAATGAAACATCTGCAAGAAAAACACTAAGCTCAGAGAGCACCAAGGACACCACAGTTCAACCCTGAACTTCAAATATTATCTCCAATCTGTACTTTTGAGCTCTACTGCATTTCAGGACTAATCCCCATAGAACAAGGAATGGAAACTTTTCACTAGCTCTTATCAGGGTGCTTCAGATATGGTCTCTTCCAGATAGTGCATGAAGGTTCATCTGTTAGATAGGAAACCACCATTTCACAACAACTTGCACTGATGCTTTCACAACTCCCCAAAGGGGGGGTGGGAAACACTAGGGATGAACAAATCTGATTGGAGAGATGATGAGAAATGGTGAATGGAAGGGACACTTAACATAAACAAACCAAGATATAGGAATTGTGTCCAATGATAGTTTATCTCACCAATGGCAATTTAGCAGAGGGGATAAGCAATTGGGAGGACACTATTTCAAATATTCTGAGAAATGTGAATTCTTTAATAAATGAAGGTTGGAAACTCCTCTTCAAGTTTCTAAGATTTTGGCTCTACCCTAATACCAGCATTCTAATCAATACTAGCATCAACGGTTCTGGGAACTGGGTATGTCTAGTCTAATGAGGGGAAAAACTAGGGGTGACATGATAGCAGTCTTCCAATATTTGAGGACTCTCACAAAAGAGCTCCGTTGGCCACTGGTGGGCCACAACAGGTTCAGATTAGATTAACAGAGTTGGAAGGGATCTTGTAGGTCTACTCTCCACCCAAGAACAATTAATCAGTGTAATGGGTTGCCTTCAGAAATTGTGGGTGCTCCATCACTGGAGGTTTTTAAGAAGTGGCTGGACCACCATTGGTTTGGAATGGCATAGTCTCCTGCTCAAGCAAGAGGTTGGTCTAGAAGACCTTTACGATCCCTACCAACTCTGTTCTTCTGTAGGACACCTTGCTACAATTCTTGTTCCTTGATTTCATCCCATTCTATAGGGCCTGACCGCTGGTATCCAGGAATCCATGGGAACACTCTCAAATCCTGACCGGAAATAGATGAAGGGAGAGCAGAATCAACTTTTTGGGGATGACCTCCTTCAAAAACACTCCTAGACCTTCTCCGGAAGCTGGACAATGCCTCTGCTGGGACTTCAGCCAAAGAAAAGGAACGATCCATCCTCAGATCAAAGTGTGTTTCCTGCCAGCAAACAGCCAAATGGAATCTCAATATATTTCTTTCCTTTGACAGAGATCCTGCTTCCTGCTCTCGCTTTCCAAGAGTTTTCTATGCACGACTGTTCTCCTTAAAAGCAAAGCACCGTCATTGGCTTTTTATTGCCAGTTAAAAATCTCAACCTGCTTTCCGTCTTGAGCCACTGCAGCATGAAAACCTTGTTCATTTCCCCAGTGTTCCTTCCCGGATAATCACAACTAACCCTGGAGCCCTAGTGAATAGATTTGGACCAGCAAGGTGCTGCTTTGTAACTTATAACAAACTAGCCGATAACTTGGCGTTGCCTGGGTATTTATTTATAGGGGGAAAATATCCAGACCAAACGTAATTTGTAATGTTGGATTTTCCCCCTTATCAGAGGGAGCCACCTTGTGGAATACTGTGAAGCCATTACCATGGCAACTCCACTGTGCTGTACAGTAGAAGCCATTTTACAGCAGTACAGTAGAAGCCATTTTANGTAGGGTCTACTTGGGCGGGGGCTGGACTAGATGACCTACATGGTCCCTTCCAACTCTGTTCATCTGTAATCTGTCCTCAGTTCAAAACATTTTAAAGGTCAACCACCCCTTTGGATTAGGAGACAGGATTCCTTCCATTGTGTATCCCACCCACAAAGTTCAACCAGGTAGAGTTAGACTCATCCTACTGCGGCTGAAGCCCGTCAAACGTAGTTTTGACAAGCCCCTCCAAATGACTCTGCAAAATATATTTGACCAACCTGACTAGAAAGTCTTGAAGTGCCTTCTGTTCTAGCTGGGAGAACACAGTCAGACAAACGGAGGCGAGCCAGGATTTCAAGTCAGCTAACAGTTTATTTCTAACAGGTTGCCTAATGCGGCACTTCACATTTCGCGCGTATTACCTAACTGGGAACAGCTGAGCCCTGTTTGACAGCTCTTTATATACCCCAGCTGTCAAACAGGTAACCAATCAGTAAGAAGGACACGCCCCCCTGGCCAAACGGACCAGAGAGGAAACTGTAGTACACAACACCTTCCTTAGGTCCATCTGTCTCCTGATCCGTCACTTCACAAGTATAACTTTAAGTGAAGTCCGTTCTGCTGACTTACCGATATTTCTGGAATCGATAAAACTCAGAACTGAGATGGAAGAACTGCCAAGGAGCGAATGAATGGTCAAACGCGAGCAGCAAATTAAAAAAGCAAAAACCAGCTTAGGTGGTTTAATTAAAAGCATTTAAGGAAGGCCCACTTGGTTAAGGAGTTTACCTTAAGGAAAAACTGTGATCTCCAGTAAACCTCTCAAAGTCTCTGCTAGTAAAACTTTAAACCTGAACTTTTCCTTATCTGCCGGGTTTATGGGACGTGCTGCGTTCCCTTGAATTTCGCACAGCGATATTGTCAGGTCTAACGCCTTGCAAATTTGCCCACGAACCAAATTGCTTTCATTATTTATAATCCTATCAACACATGTGAGAGTTGCTCTGTTGGACCCATCCCATTTCCATCTGGTTGAACAGCCTGCTATCGACAATTGGACACTTTGGGGAAATTAAGGTGCACCCAATGACGTCAATGACAATCTCTCTCCCCTGTCCTGTCCCCCCACCCCCACCCAGGTAGTCAATATCCTGAAATAAAAGAATTTCCAAACTTGGAAATTCGACAAATGTATTAAAATCAGCAGTTACATTTGCCCTAGTAGTGGGTTCCGGATCCCGTCACTGGTACGCTGTGCATGGGGCTGGGCATCCCAGTTCGGCACATGTGCTGCGCATCCATGTGCAAGCCACCATCCTGCGACACCCAGCTGCTCAGCGGTGGTTGCGCAGGCGCTGCAATGCTGTACGCATGTGCACAATTGGCCGGTGATGTTATAAACAGCTATAGAACGTGGGCGGATGGGTGGGCCAAATGAGCCACCATACTGGTACGGTGGCCACTTCTCCTGGCTTCTACTGGTATGCCCGTACGGGGCCGTACTGCATGGAACCCACCACTGATTTGCACCTTGCAACCATTCCAATGGTTTCAAAATTTTTAGAACCTCTTCTATAGATGTGGCCTGCTTTGTGGGAGTGGCTTGCCGGTGATGTGACCGGGTGGGTGTGGCTTGCCGGCCATGTGGCTGATTGGGAGTGGCTTGCCATTCATGTGACCGAGTGGGAGTAGCTTGGTAGTCATGTGACTGGGTGGGTGTGGCCAACTTGTAAAATGTGGTGAAACTCACTTAACAGCGCTCTTGATTAGCAACCAAAATGNTTCACTGAAATACCAAATGCCGATCGCAATCGAAGCAGGAGGCCGTGAGAGATCAAACACGTGCTCCAGTAGAATGGTGGTGAACCGACCTCCGTGGAGCAATGAATCTGATGATTTTACGTCACTGCAGGCAGGAAAATGAAGCCACGCCTAGCCAGACTGTTTGTCGGCACGAAAAGGGCTCCAAAATGGCCCCTGCAACCAACAGCGGGGTCAGGAGATTCAAATCGGTGAGGTACAAAAGCTGCCGCCAGAATGGAGAAAGCCTACCTCATATCTTGCCAGTGACCGCAGCTGAAGCTTCCAGAGGCTCTCGAGGTCGAGGTAATACAGGGAGCCCAGGCATGTGACATCACCAGGCAACCTCGGGGGGGGGGGGGAGTAAGGAGGGGGGCATCGGACAGCTGCTAGAGCGGGCGGTGCGGTGAACCGATCCCCAGCCTCCCTCAGCAAGACAAAATGAAGGCAGCAAACCGACCTTCCCACAATGAACAACGGCACGCCCTCGCCTCCAATAAAAAGGTTCCTTGGCCCCGAAGGCTCCAGGAATGCTAAAATCCAATTGTCACTTTAAACGAAGAGAAAACGAACCTATCCGCGAAAGGAGCTCAAACTGGTGAAGGGAATTCAAGCTGAATAATAATAATGATGAATTTGTCTAGTAACCCAGAGAGAATAATTTTACGTCTCTTTAGGCTGGACTGAGTTAAAAAACTGAACCAGTCGAGTCAGAAGAGGCATGGCCAGCAATTTGCATAACTCAGTCTCAAGGATTCCCCAAGCAGCACACAGGAGAAGGATAGGTTTTGCTAACTTGCCTATTTCATTTCTTACTTACCTCACAAGCAGCTTGGCTGTTGTTAAATTGCTTAGTTAACAGTTCAATCCACTGAAGCATCGTGGGCTAAAGGAAGTAAACATTCAAATTGAAGCACATAATTGTTTTCTTCAGTTACATAACACTAAAAGCAATAAGTATGATGCAGTGATGGTTTCAGCAGTACCCTCCACCTTCGCCAGACCCACAAAAAGGATAGTGATTTGGTTTTGAGGTTTAATAAAACTCTTTGTCTTAGTCAACTCATCTGGTTTAAAGATGACATATAATATTGTACCACATATATTTATAGAATAAAATAAGAATAACAACATCTTATGTTACATAATGGTTAATTTGTCAAAGTTAAGATATTCAATCCTAGGCTAAGAAAATTAAATTTGTCCGTACAGGTAGTCATTGTTTAGCAACCATAATTGGGACTGGAGCTCAGATGCCAAGTGGAATATTAGGGGCTTCTCAGAATTTGTTATCAGGTGTTATATAGCAGTTATGTAAATGTCTTCAATAAATAACTAAATATCTTATCACTTAATCACAAGTGGGCTTATATTTTTACTACAGCTGTTTTCCAACTCCCTTAGCTTTTGCAATGCTCACCACAGCGCTTGCTAGAGAATTAGCTAGAATGGAATTAATGTGTATATTTATATTTATTGGGGAAGAGATTAAAAGAGAGTAAGCAGGTATACAATGAGGAATACACATTGGAAAAATGTACTGGCAAAATACTGATTACCTAGTGCAGTAGGGGCTGCGAGGAGAAAAACAAAGGTCACTGAAGAGATTGGTGAAAAAAATTACAAGAGAGTAAACAAGTATACAGTGGGAAATATTCTGGCCGTCTGCCTAGCATATTTGCAGCTAGCAGCCCCAAGAGCTGTAAGTAAACAGCTGGCATCAATGCATTCTTGTCAATGTATATTCCCCATTGTATGCCTGGTTACTCTCTTGTAATTCCTTCATCTGCAATCATTCCAGTGTGTGATAGGGAGTGCGGGAATAAGTAAGGCGTAGGACAATGCATACTATCTGACTGGCCAGGTAGTCTTTAGGTTAAAATAGAATTTGGGGCCAGAATTTCCATTGCCTAAGCAATAAAGTCATAAAGTGTGATGTCATATGACCACATTGCTTAGCAATGTCAATCCTGACAGTCCCAGTTGCTATCGTAAGCGGGAGATCACATGGACCATTAAGGGAAGTCCTCATGTGACCAGAGTCCTAGGCAAACAGCCTGGTATGTGAGAATTTTGGGAGAGTTGGGGCCAGCAGGAAACAAGGGTGGACAATACAGAGGGTATACTATGAACTAGCACTTAGCTTTATCTACTATTTCAGAGTGCTTTACAGCCCTCTGTAAGCGGTTTACAGAGTTAGCATATTGCCTTCAACAATCTGGGTCCTCATTTTACTGATCTTGGAAGGATGAGTGAACCTTGAATTGGTCAGGACTGAACTCCTGGCAGTTGGAGCATTGGCCTGCAATACTGCATTCTAACCATTGAGCCACCATTACAAGATGCCTGTGATCTCATACTCCATAGTGGGGCTCTTCAGAAGCAAAAACAGTGTGAATGACTTATGTGAATGACTTTAATCTTTGCTTGTGGGAAACTGGCAATTAAGGTTACAAACAATGATCATGGATTACTGTGGTATTGTAATTATGAGCTAGGTATCCAAGCCCCAGAACACAATCATATGACCAAGGGACACTATGACACTCAGAATTCTGAGAACGAGTTGTAAGCCCCCTTTATTCAGTGCCATCATAACTACAAGGTGTAAACATATGTCTTGGTCACAAACTTATTTTTACGTCCTAACTTTGAATGGTTGCTACACAAGGTAGATGCTAAGAAAGGTCTGCCTATATTAGCTCAAAGGTTCATTTAGACTATGAAATAATCTAGTTTGAAACAAACCAAAATTTCATTATATATTTTTTTCAATCAGTGAAGCAAAGGATTATTCTTTATCTTAATCAACATTAGAAATATACACTGTGTTATAGGAAATTCAGGCACATACCTTTTCTTTTGAATGGATAAATGTTTCAAGGACAAAAGAAGTGCTCAACTGTAAGACAATAATTGATAGTCAGAGACTATCCTGAACAAGTGGTAAAACACTTTTTTTTTTAAAGTAATCTGACAGTAAGATACTCTACCTTGGCTGTCATCAGAGAAACTGCTTTTGGATCTGGTAATGTGCTGGGGATGCTGCTACACAACTGCCACATAAATCTAGGACAAACACATGGATAAATACTTGTTTTTACACCCACTTTTTAAAACCTGGATTTAAAAACCTGGAATTCATTTATGAAATAAAATAAAAATTGATGTAAACCTTACCCAAAATATGTATGCTCAAAAATATTCTTATCCTGAAGGAACTGCATGTTATCATGCCATATCCACTGTAGAGAAAAATGAAAAAAAAATCAGGTAAAACTATTCACTCTATTCAGAGATGAATGAATGAAAAATAAATTACTAGCTAATATAAGTACTTCTTAATCTATATAAATTGATTGACTGAATAAATAAAAATCTTGTAGAGAGAGATGGGCAGCAAACAAATTTAATAAATAAAATTAACATTAAAAAACCCCTTTCTATTTAAATGTAACATAATTCAAAATTAGCCATGATTCTCTCTCATGGAAACTTCATTTAAATAATAAAAAGTGTCCTAAGTAACTAAACTAAACAATGTTTCCTGTATCCTATTCCAAACTGCTTGGGGGTGTTCCTACTACTGTAAAGTCAATAACAATGATAATTTATTGAATTTATATGCTACAATAAAATCAATAAATGTTTAATTTTAATGTTTTAATACTTAACATTGAATGCTTTTAATTTTTTAATCTTCTTATTGTTTTATATCATGATTTTATATTGTTGTAAGTTGCCCATTTGACAATGAGACAAACAAACACAGACAGACAGACAAACAGATGAAGACTGATAAAATGAAGGGTCTCATTCTCCCTCATTAAAGGTCTTAGCTTTTCTTAGAATCTAAGGTATAATACTAAAACTTCATATACTGAGGCAACCAATAATACACCTAACTCAATTTTGTTTATGCTGTTAGAATTCATCTCATGAAAAAGAGATTTCCTAAGTCTTAATTGGGTATGGTAATAAATGCGACCCTTGGGAAAGTTGAAACGTGTCCTCGTCTAAAGATGAAGAACTGAAAGGGGGGTGGGGGAGGAAAAGGTATCTTCAAGCTGTATAATTCTGTGAGTTCTATAACATCAAGGAAAGTTCCATTTAGCCAACTGACTTTATGTTAATATTAACAATATTAATATTACTGATTTACTGAATTATAGGTTCTTTCTGTTTTATCTAAATGAAAGATCCCAACAGGGCAATAATATTTTTTGATGCACATTCTTATCCTAACATTTTCATTTCAAATGTCTTATACATCATATAGTAAGGATATGATGAGCCAAGGTGGCGCAGTGGTTAAATGCAGCACTGCAGGCTACTGCTAGATCAGCAGTTCAGCGGTTCAAATCTCACCGGCTCAGGGTTGACTCAGTATATGAAGTTTTAGTATTATACCTTANAATTTGCATAACTCAGTCTCAAGGCTAATGGACAAAGTTAACCCATGCTTGGATTCCCCAAGCAGCGCACAGGAGAATGAACTAGCAACTGCTGCAGACAGACTACTATGTAGACTTTCCTGACTCTCAAAATACATGGCAATGAAAAAAATGGACTTTTTCAGGCTCAAATGACAAGAGATCAGTAATATTATTTGGATGCCAAATCAACGTTGAAGCATTTAGTAGATCCAAGAGCCATATGTTTCCTAATTTGTATTGGACGGTAACATAGACATGACCATCCTCCAAGAAATGCATCCCCCTTCTCTTGGTTTCAAACCCATTTATCATAGTCTTTCATTCTCAAATACTGCTAACATTCAATAGTGTGTTATGTACATGTTAACTTTGTGTGTAGTGTGTTCAGTATGTCTGGATCCAATCCACTGTGTATACAGTATGTTGTATCCCTATCCTCCTCACCAAATAATTGAAATAAATAATTAAACCTACCAAAGCCTACACTCAGCCATTTCTTAGCTTTACAAGTAAGAGATACAGTCAAACTTTCAGTTTTAAAAAAGCAATACTGTGCATTGCTAAGAAGGGTCTAAATCCCACAATTAATCCAATTTACAATAAGCGTATCAATCAAGGAAGAATAAAGAAGAGATCAGGTAAATTAAAAAAAAACATTTTAAAAAAATTAAGAAACCCACAATTACCAAGTTTCATACCTGTCTCCAGCAGTAAGAGCTGCTAACTTCTCTTCACCTGGCTGAGGCTCAGATTTGTCATTTAAGATCCACTGCACCTGCTGCTCAATCTCCCTGGGTTTCAGGAGTCTACCATCATAGTACAACCATACTTTGTAGTAGCGTCCCTTATGATATACAGCAATATGTTTGCTGTCCTTCAAATGTTGGATGGTGTCTAGAATTGAAAATCAAAATTTGAAATAACTGTAGGGTTTAATAATAAAAGAATTTACATATTGCAGTCCTCAGCTACCAAGTACAGCTATTTTTATTTATTTTATTTTTTCATTAAATTCATATGCTGCCCATCTCATTGATAAGGTGACCTTGGTCTCTCAACTACCGGTATTAATGAAACTCTTCCATTCAATTGCATAAGAATTGTTTACTTTTTGCTATAATTTTCATTAAAAAGCAGCTTAGTTTTTATTTTTTTAAAAAATTTAGTAGACAAAAATCAGTTTCTTTTTAAATAGAGTCAAGATTATCTTCTATGCACTCAATTATGTAATTTAATGGCTTTTGTATGTGCTACTTTTCCTAAAGGTGGATCATGGGAAAGTGCTGGGACTAAATTTCCAGCCTGCAACATGTTACTGAAAGATATCTTGTCATAACTAGTGATGCAATTTTTATATTTAGGTTGAGTTGCTTAGTTGAACCACTGAAATTGTCACATGTACAAGCAATTTAAATATATATACATATACATGTAGTCCTGAAGTGTCTAAAGTGGTGTAGGGTTTCCTGCCTAAGCAGGGGGTTGGATTAGAAGACCTCCAAGGTCCCTTTCAACTCTGTTATTCTGTTTTTCCTCAGCTTACGACCAATTGCTTAGTGATTGTTTGATGTTACAATGGACTGCAAAATGGGACTTATGACCTTAATTTCTAATCTGTCCTCCCCACCTCTTTTTGGGCACTTGCCAACTGCCCTGCATTATGGCATTGCCCTGCAGTTATATGATGGTGATTTATGACATTTTTTTTTCAGAAATGGGTGTTAAAATGCCAGTTTCCAGCAAAAAATGCCCCAAACCAAACAATGAGTTTGGTTAACAGCAGCAAATACCCTTAATGACTGCTGCAAAATAGATTGTAAAATTGGATCTGGTCATATGGTGTGATGCTCTCATAACATATGACCGTAATTGTAATCTCAATTATGGTTGAAACTCAAGGACTATCTTTAAACCCTGCAAAATAAGTCTTGATGTTTCTTTCTAAATCTCGTGGAAAATATTCAAACATTCATTCTTCTAGATCATTTCAAACTAAACCTAGTTTTAATCTTCTTCTAAGATTTAAATATGCTCAATATCACAAAAAATAAAAATGTCTGCATCTTACCAAACTGATATTTTATAAACAAGAAACATAAATGCCATAAATTAACTTTTATATAATTTCCATACAAATATTGCAGATATCAACATTTTCAAAATAAATGCATTAAAACAATTAGCAATTTAATTATCACATACGTAAAAGCAATGCCCTTACATATTTTTCTAAAATAAAGCCACAATAATCTGTAATTCAGGGTCAGCACTTGATTATTCTTTTTCATTATCAAGAATTACATGCCAATAAAAACTTAGAAAAAATAAGCTTTGAAGAAAAAAGGTTAGTGAAGACATTAGTAGTGATTGAGAGAATATTAAAAAAGTGATTTTAAGATTAGGAAAAATGGGCACAATTATGAAGTGTTATATGGGATTTTTACAAGACAGTTCAAATAACATGAACCATTTGAACTGTTACCATGCATGCCTCTACTTGTATCTTTTGTGGAAGATAATTTTCAAAAAAAAAATTTTTTTTACATCAGGGAAGTGCAGAAAAATAGATTTTTTCCTTATTCCAGTTGTTTAAATATGGTTTCATATGTTTATTTAAGCCCAGTGTGAGATGATGTGTATTAAAAAGATTCTACATAACCTCTACAGGAATTTTATTCTCTTTTGGTTATAATATATAAGGCAAAACGGCGGATCAAGCATCAGAGGATTCTAAAAACTTCGCCATTTGTGAGAAAACCGTTGTTTTTTTCCAGTAAAGGTAAAGGTTCCCCTCGCACATATGTGTTAGTCATTCCCGACTTTAGGGGGCAGTGCTCATCTCCATTTCAAAGCCGAAGAGCCCCACTGTCCGAAGACATCTCTGTGGTCATGTGGCCAACAAGTCTAAACGCCAAAGGCACACAGAACGCTGTTACCTTCCCACCAAAGGTGGTTCTTTTTTTCTACTTGCATTTTTAAATACTTTCAAACTGTTAGGTTGGCAGAAGCTGTGACAAGTACAGGGAGCTCACTCCATTATGCGATGCTAGGGATTCGAACTGCCGACCTTTCTGATCCACAAGCTCAGCGTCTTAACCACTGAACCAATCTGTCCCTTGTTTTTCCAGTAGTGGCTGTCAATGGTAAATGCACAATATTGGGAATCAAAACCAACTCCTCTCCATTAAATAGTACTTTCAAATTATTAATGTAATACAATTGAAATACATTTAATTACAGAAATATGTTGAATTTACTTAATTGTTGTCATATATTTTCATCATTTTAAAATATTTTGGACAATGTCTCTTCATTCCTAAATATTTTTTGTGGAATCCTTGGTGCTTAAAGGGCTTGAAGATGTTTCATTACGCAACTAGGTAATATCAGTATTAGCGATTGTCGGGTTTGCTCCCTATTTACACATAGCAACTTGCCCTACCAATTTTGTTGCGTGTGTGGTTTTCTCCTTGGTAGTTTCTTAATGTATTGTTTTCTGATTGTTTGCCTGATGTTAATCCTTGATTAGCTTGGTGTTGGTGTCTGAGAGGTGGTGTTCTGGTTTTTTTTTGTTTCTTTTTTACCGTATTTTTCAGAGTATAAGACGCACTGGAGTGTAAGACGCACCAAGGTTTTATAGAGGCAAATTAAAAAAAAAAGTAGGTAGGTAGATAGCAGGGGTGGGTTTCTCGCCCCGTTCCAACCGGTTCGGTTGGAACAGGGCCGGCGGCGTCCTCGTGCACGCGCGTGGTGCACGCATGCATACTAGCATCTGCGCGACGCTCCAGCTGCTCCTGGACGATCACGCAGGCGCTATATGCGTCCTGCGCATGCGTGGAAGCGCAGAACTCGTCAAAACCGGGTAAGGACCGCGGGCGGGCAGGCGTGCCCTTCGCCATTCCCGGAAGTTACTTAATTCCGGTTTCGGCGACCAACCGGTTCGCAGGGACCGCTGCGAACCGGTTGG